GTACTTCGCATGATCAGTAGTTTTAAGTCTTAATCCGTTTAATCGTATACCTCCTCATGTTATGTTATTCCCTATAAAATATCGGTAATCACTTCTATTTCTGACCAGAAATATATTTTTGTTATTAATTAAGTGTTTAATAGCAAAAGAAGATTAATTCAGGCTTAATAAAAATTTAAGGGCAAGTTTATATTTAGTATAGTTTTGCATATTTTCGTTATATGTCCTGCAGTAACATTAGTAAAGTTTTTCGAACAGCTTTTGGACAGATAATCTCAAGAGTCGTGTTTAAATTCAAAATTTGTAAAGTGATAGACTCGTCTCTTTTGTCGATTACTTGCTAACCGAATTGGAAACAATTGAAAACTATTACTCTCAATTTGTTAAAAATGTTTGAAATGCCTAAAGACATAATAATAAAAAATTTCACAAACATCAATCAACATTCCCATGGACATGGACCTACAAAAAATATCACAAATTCATACATCATTTCACAAAAAAAAAAAAAAAAAAAAAAAAAACGAAAAATATAAAAAATCAAATTACTCTTCCAGCCTATACGACGATGAGTTAGCCTTTGTCGATCGTCTTATATCCGAAGATATTCGCAATAATTCCGCCTGGAATCAACGTTTCTTTGTACTTAAACACTTTGGCTTTACAGCCGATAGAATACAGAGTGAACTGCAGTACACTATGAATCGTATACGTATTGTTAAGAATAATGAAAGTGCATGGAATTATCTTAAGGGTCTTTTACGGCAAAGTGAAAGTGGTTCTCTAAATCATTTTCCTGAAGTTATTGCATTTTGTGAGGAGCTTTATAATAGTAATTCCCGGTCACCTTATCTATTGGCATTTCTAATTGATGCCTACATGGAGAAATGTTTAAAGAGCTGTCAAATGGAGGAAAAGGAAACATTGTCACGTAAGGTATATAATCTATGTGATGATATGTCGAAAAAACATGATGTTATCAGACGTAAATATTGGCAATATGTGGCTGATGAGTTGAAAAGTAAAATGGATTCGAAACAGCTTTAAAATTGTACGCAATATTTGTTGGTGTAAAAAGATTTAAAATTTATAAATGTTTTTTTTTTTTAGATATGAATATTTACTTAAACAGTTAACTTTAGTTCTAAGTTACTCTTATTATTATTATTTTTTTCAACATTGTCTTTCTAAATGTCTTATGTATTATTATTATTATTTTTCCATAAATATGTGCAGTTATTGTCGTATTTTTCTAAAATAAACTTCTATAAAACTATTTGCAAAATAATTTGTGTTGTTGTATTTGCTTTACTTCGTCTTAACATTGTCAGGCTTTGTTGTTTGTTTAACATTGTTGACCAAAATTTATACCCTTTACGTTATATATATTAATAACGGAGTTGAATTTTTTCGACTCTATAAAATATATTTCGTGTCCTTTTTTTTTAGACAGCGGTATCTATTGAGCTATGTCCGTCTGAATATTTGCTGAAATCAATTTTCTGAAGACCCCTGATATCTTCCAGATCCAAACTTCAACAATTCTGTCAGATAAGCTTGGACCAATTTTGCCATTTAAAATTGTCTAGTCTATAGTCTAGTCAATATTTTAGTCTAAAGTCTAGTCTATAGACTAAGTCTATAGTCTAGTCTATAGTCTAGTCTATAGTCTAGTCTATAGTATAGTCTATAGTCTAGTCTATAGTATAGTCTATAGTCTAGTCTATAGTCTAGTCTATAGTCTAGTCTATAGTCTAGTCTATAGTCTAGTCTATAGTCTAGTCTATAGTCTAGTCTATAGTCTAGTCTAGTCTATAGTCTAGTCTAGTCTATAGTCTAGTCTATAGTCTAGTCTAGTCTAGTCTAGTCTAGGTCTATAGTCTAGTCTATAGTCTAGTCTATAGTCTAGTCTATAGTCTAGTCTATAGTCTAGTCTATAGTCTAGTCTATAGTCTAGTCTATAGTCTAGTCTATAGTCTAGTCTTAGTTAGTCTATAGTCTAGTCTATCGTCTAGTCTATAGTCTAGTCTATAGTCTAGTCTATAGTCTAGTCTATAGTCTAGTCTATAGTCTAGTCTATAGTCTAGTCTATAGTCTAGTCTATAGTCTAGTCTATAGTCTAGTCTTAGTCTAGTCTATAGTCTAGTCTATAGCTAGTCTATAGTCTAGTCTATAGTCTAGTCTATAGTCTAGTCTATAGTCTAGTCTATAGTCTAGTCTATAGTCTAGTCTATAGTCTAGTCTATAGTCTAGTCTATAGTCTAGTCTATAGTCTAGTCTATAGTCTAGTCTAGTCTAGTCTAGTCTAGTCTATAGTCTAGTCTATAGTCTAGTCTATAGTCTAGTCTATAGTCTAGTCTATAGTCTAGTCTATAGTCTAGTCTATAGTCTAGTCTATAGTCTAGTCTATAGTCTAGTCTATAGTCTAGTCTATAGTATAGTCTATAGTCTAGTCTAGTCTATAGTCTAGTCTATAGTCTAGTCTATAGTCTAGTCTATAGTCTAAGTCTATATTCTAGTCTATAGTCTAGTCTATAGTCTAGTCTATAGTCTAAGTCTATAGTCTAGTCTATAGTCTAAGTCTATAGTCTAGTCTATAGTCTAGTCTATAGTCTAAGTCTATAGTCTATACTAAGTCTATAGTCTTGTCTATAGTCTAGTCTATAGCCTAGTCTATAGTCCAGTCTATAGTCTAGTCTATAGTCTAGTCTATAGTCTAGTCTATAGTCTAGTCTATAGTCCAGTCTATAGTCCAGTCTATAGTCTAGTCTATAGTCTAGTCTATAGTCTAGTCTATAGTCTAGTCTATAGTCTAGTCTATAGTCTAGTCTATAGTCTAGTCTATAGTCTAGTCTATAGTCTAGTCTATAGTCTAGTCTATAGTCTAGTCTATAGTCTAGTCTATAGTCTAGTCTATAGTCTAGACTATAGACTAGTCTATAGTCTAGTCTATAGTCTAGTCTATAGTCTAGTCTATAGTCTAGTCTATTATCTATATAGTCTAGTCTATAGTCTAATCTATATAGTCTAGTCTATAGTCTAATCTATAGTCTATTCTATAGTCTAGTCAATAGTCTAGTCCATAGTCTAGTCTATAGTCTAGTCCATAGTCTAGTCTATAGTATATATATTCTAGTTCAGAAATCAATGAGAACCTTTAAAAATGACAATTTGGTACTTTTCGTTATTTAGAAGGTACTATTTGAATGTTCTATAATATTGAACATTAAAACATTAAATTAAACATTAAAATAAAACTCGTCTGTGAGAAGAGCGTAACGTTATTGTTGTAGAAAAATGACAGCGTTTCACTTCTTAGTGTTCAGTGTTAAACATTCCAAATCCTGAGTTAATGAAAATCTGTAGGAAATGAAAACCTATTAATGACTGTTTTGGTACTTTTGTGATATCGTATCTACCCAGCAAAAAGTTACATGACAAAGATGTTGTTTAGGTGCAAGTGATGACGAAGTGGTTCGATTTAGGTGAAACATGCATTGATTTTAACATTAGCGTGTCCATTGGAGATCATGTGTTTATGCGAGAATTTCGAATAATCGAACCAATGCAAATTCGATGATTCGAAAACGATGTTTCATTGGATCAAGCTACATATTTGTTTTGTATATATTTTTGGAAGAAATTTTAAATATTTTTAAGGAAAATATGATAACAAATATGAGAAAATATATAAAATATTATTAATAATCAAAATATTTCATTTGATTAAATTAACAATCTGAATTAATTTTTGAAGTTTTAAAGGAATTTTTTAACTGCGGAAAGGGTTGAACTAAGGAAGGCATTTAGAATGAGTTGTATTAGCACTGTTATTAATCATGAAACTTACATTTACTTTGCACTACTGCAAAATTTTTTTGCTGGGTAGAAATGCAAAATTTAACACGCAGTATACTGGCTGAATGAAAATTTATAAAAGTAAAGTAGCAGTTGAAGAACGAAACTGCTACTTTTTGAATATTTTTCAATATTAAACCTAAAAACATATAATTAAACATACATCGTCCTGATTGAATGAAAATCTATAAAACGGGGTTTTCTGGTACTTTTTCATCCGGTATTTTTTTTTTGTCAAGTTCTTGTTCTTTAAATAAATGTCATAACAGAATTTAGCTAATATAGATGATAACTTTGCTTACCTTTCGTTATAAATAAACAAAAAAATAAAACTCTAGAAATCTTATAAACCAATTATGTTCTTGTTACCAATGTTTTTTGTTTTTTTCTTTTACATTTTTAATATTTTATTTTTCTTGTAATATTTTCATTTTTTTTTTGTTTAGTTCTTGGATACATAGTTTGTTTTAAGAGGTTTCTTTTTTTTAGATTTTTTTAAATCATTTAATTCAGCTTTCTTTTGATTTTTGCGTATATTTGTTTTTCTTGTTCATTTTTCATTTTATTATTATTTTTGTTTTTTTCAAAGAAGTGTGTTTGTTTAAACATTTTGTTTTTTTTTTAATATTTTGTTTTTGGTGTGTTTGTTAAATATTTTTTTTTTTTTTGGTTTTAATAAAATATTTGAGTTTTTTTTTTCATCGCTTAAACTTAAAGCAGAAGAAGACTTTAAATATTAATAAAAAAAGTTAATTATTTGTTGTTTTTTGGTAGTTCTTTTCTTTTAAAGAATTTTGTTTTTTAAGTTTAACTGGTTTGTTGTGTTTGTGGTTGACATTTGTGTGTGTGTAAATATAAAGGTAAATTTAATAATAATAATAATAATAATTTGTTTTTATAATAATATAAATAGTATTTGGGCAAAAAGCTTCAAATTGTTATAAAAAAGAATCCTACAAAGACATTTTAAATGTCTCTTATAAGTATAAGGTTTTTTTTTTATATAATTTAAAAATAGTTATTAAATTAAAGGTTAGACAAAAGTTGTTTAGGAAAACTAAGATTAATGTTATAACTTTTGGTTTTCATTTTTATATCAAATTTATAGGTTTTTTTATAATTAAATAATTAAAAATATTTGGAAATGTGTCTAATTTTTAAAAATAAAAGTTTTTTTTTTTAGTTTTAGCTAATGAAATGTCTGGCGGTATTAGATGATGATAATTTCTTTCTTTTACTAGTAATAGTTTTCTTACAGCATGCCTTTAAAAGTATGTTAACTTAATGAGAGTGTTTGGTTTTAAGAGAAGTGTTTGTTATACTAAAACGTAGAATTAATAATTATTAAATATATGCTTTTTAAATGTTTTATTGTTTTAGCTTAAATTGTTTAAAAAAAACCTAATATGGAAAGAATTGTTTTTAATTGTTAGTTTGCCATTTGTGTAATGAGCAGTTATTGAAAGGAGTGTAATCGTTATGAACAACTTTAAAAACTAACAGCAATTTTATAAGTTTTTGTTTTTTTCAGAACATAGGACTAGATTCCTTTAAGGAAATGTAAAGAAACTAAATTACACTGATTTCAATAGCTGCTTTTAAGAAAAATTTTATTTGGGGGACTTTTAAATACTTTCAAAAACTGAAATAAAATTGTAAAAAAATATATTTTTATATTTTCTTAGTTTTATTAAAGGGAGAGTTTTTTTCTTTGTTTGTTTTTGTTTAATATTATCTTGAAGTAAAAGCAGAGTTTTCAAGCGAAAAAATCTGTAATCAAAAAGTCGTTTCTATGCCAGTAAAATCCTTTTATCATTTCTCTTTTAGAAGTAATTTTTATGTTTTTTTTTCTTGTTTGTTTGGTTTTTCTTATGTTTTTAATATATATTTATTTCTTCCATTTGTTTTCTTTATATAATAAACTTAATAGAGCATTTCATTTATATATAATATATATGTATAGTTTTGTTTTTGTTGTTTTTATATAATAATTTATTTGTTTATCTTTTTAATTTTATTTTTTCAACTATTCATCACTACTTTTTGTTTAAGATTCTTTTTTTTTATTAAAAATGTTCAAAAGTTTTATTCTCCTGGCTGTGTCTCTCATTTTTTTTACTTCCGGTCTACGGTTTTAAAAAAACTACAACTAACTATCATCTATTTATCATCACCTATACCTTCATCAGCTGTAGTGGCCTTTTTATCTTGACCCCGGGCAGCTGCTGCAGCATCATCATCATCATCAGCTTTAATATCACACTTTTCAGCTAGCATATCCTCGATGCCCTCATCAATGGGTTGATTCTCTTTGTTGGCTTCTAAATCAGCAGCGGCGTCTAGTTCGGGAGCCGAGGGCTCAGGGGCACCGTTTGTTTTAATAGGATGTGGTGTCATTTTGACTCGGCATGTTTCGTAAGCTTTTTCGAAACCTAATTTAGTATAGAGATTACGAGAAGCATCATTTTGTGGACGTATCACAACGAATGGTTTGTAGCCGCGTTCGATAACTTTATTAGTCAAAGCAATAGCTAAGCGTATGCCATAACTGTAATACCAAAAAGTTCACATAAAATAAAAGAAAATTAACCCAAAATTTCCTCTCACACACTCACCCTAATCGTCTATAATCTGGACGTGTTTGCATTGAAAACATTGCACCATAATATGAATGTACCATCCATGCGGCCAATTCATTTGTATCTTTTCGAAATATACCCAAACCGGGCAGCACTTTAACCAGTATCTCGAATACATCGACACATTCAATCTCATTGGCCGGATATAAATCGTGAATATGTTTAACATCATCCACGGTCAATTGGCGCATGTACGCATTATCGGGTAATTCATCGAATTCCAAATCCGTATTTAATTTATTACACACATAAATATCACCCTCAAGCCGTTCCATGATGCCCATTTCTTTGTAAAAATCATCCAGGCGATTCATAATAGCAATGTGCGTAAAATTCAGGTACAATGGTTGTTGCCAATCGATCAGTATGTCTTCGGTACGCATTAGATCCACATGTTCGATTTGTTCGGATGGGCAGAATATGCCAAAGCTTTGGTATATATTGTTGTTGGGCTAAAGGGATTAAAAAAATAGAATATATATATATTTATGTGATTTATAAGAAATTTGTTTAGTTTTACCGTTAGCGTGCATCCTGGAAAGTGTAACAGTATTGGTTTTTCGGGCCAATCTTTTGAAACATAAAATTTAAATTCCCAAACACGATCATTCAGGTACGTTCGTATTGTTTGATGAAACTGTAAATAAATTAAAATTTTGAAGAAATTAGTATAAAATTTTTTAAATTTAGTTTAGATATATAGATAAACAAAGATATCTTAAAGGTTATAGTAAAGTTTCAAATCTAGTTGCTATATTAATCGATCGACCTGCTCGTAAGTTTTTAAGGCAGATATCTTGCTCTTGTGTCTCTCAGTCCTGGGAGCAAGTTACCTTGATGATAGAACTTATCTTGCTGTGATTGTAATCCCGCGAAAAAGAGGTGCTACCAGTACCTCTAGTCTGCCGGGACTATAAACGGGTGATGATCAAATGTATACTCGTTCTTTGCTTCGAATGATTTAACATGGGGTGGAACCAGAGAACCACATAATCTAGTACCACAGGAACCGGTAACCCGTAGGCCAGAGTTTTGGACTTTGTCTTGCCCCGGTTATTGGTGAGGTCCCTGTGGAGTGGCTGTGGTTTAAACCCAAATTAGCGGTAAAAGAATCTATAATTCGGGATAAGTTCGGTACCGAAGTCAACAGATACCCCACAGTGGAGTGACTGTGAGACTAAGGGTTGGAAATGAGTTGGTGTTAAGTGATACACAATGAATGTAGGAGTATACGGATCTTACCCGCCCGTAAACCTAGAGTGAGTGTGTCGGATGTTGTTTTTTGTGGGTGTGTCGAATGAATCAGAAGTGTGCTGGGTTGAATGGTATCTTATAGAAGTGATGCCATTGAATTTTCCCTCCTTGTCCAGCTATGTTCAGGGAAAACTCTATTCATACCAGATTTAACACACTGTGGTTCTCTGTGAGTTTAAAGAGAACAAAGTCCTCGACTTATTTAATGGATTCGCGTTTCGGTCTAACGGATACGTCCCTAGGTGCTGTTGCCCACTCAACAGAGGCAATCTCATCAGCATGGTTGTAAACGGAAGTTAGGTTTTTGCATATCGGAAGTTAGGCAACGGGTCAACAATGGTAAGAGATTAGATAGCTCGAGTACTTGAGCAAAATGCTTGTATATGGATCGGCAGGGGCGTTGGTGAGTCGTCAAAGAAGCTCACTCTGTAGGTGAAAAAGACCAACCCTGAAATAAGGCCCACTGTTCAAGTAAAGCAGTTCGACATCTTTGTCTCTAAATTTAACTGAAATGGGTTCTAAGTGTTGCCCGATTGCAAGTTATCCCCAAAAACAATTAAGGCTTATTTTCTGAGATCTTCCGACTACTTGATTCGTTACTATTTATATGATTGTAGTTGACATCGAGTAAAATAGCCTCAGTTGACATTTATTATTGTCATTGCAGTTGCTCAAGTTCTAGCAAATTCCCTAAGGTTTTTCGACTACTTGGTTTAATGCAGCAGTTATGGTTGTGCTTGAATTCTAGTAACATTTTTAAACCACAGACCATTGTATACTTTATTAAGTTATTAGAAATGTAAAACCTTTCTTTAATAACAGTGTTATTGAAATATAAATGACTAAATTTAGTTACGATTTAACCTTTACTATTTGTACTACAAATACGTTTTAATCAAATTTATAAATAGAAAACCATTTCTATAGAATAATTTTATAAAAGAATATTAAAAACAAATATATATATATGTACTATATAATAAAATGTGTTAAACCACACCTAAAACAAATACATATAAACCCACATATTTACAAACTTAAATACCTTAACATTACGTTGTAAATCACTCCAAATTATAAAATAGAAATTTATTCTACAACAAGGACTTTAAAGCAAAAACAAACAATATTTTATATAGAAAAAAACAAAACCTAACCTCAATTTTTATATGTAACGTTTCTTTTGAAAAGAACCAACAACATTTAGGAACAAAGTAAATTGTATGTACAAATGGGTACATAATTAAAAAAAGGGAAAACTAAACTTTTTTTTATATAACAAAACTTTGAGTATGCAAAACTATAATTTAAAATCTAAAACTTAAATAAAACAAGTAAGAGTTCTATATTCGGTTGTGGCGAAACTTATAAACACTTCATCACAGTGTATCAATATAATTAGAAACTTATGAAATATAGAAAGAAAAGAGATTTCTGAAATATAATTAGAAATTTCTGAAATATAACTAGAAATATCTGTAACATAATTAGACATTTCTGAAATATAACTAGAAATTTCTGAATTATAATTGGAAATTTCTGGAATTCAGTTGGAAAGTTCTAAAATATAATTGGAAATGGTATAGTCTGCCGGGATTATAAACTGGTGACGATCAAATGTATCCTCAGCATTTCCTTGCAATGATTTGACAACCAGAGAACCACCTAATCTAGTACTACGGGTGGCCAGTTGCTGGCAGGTCTTTGTCCTGGCTGGTCAGTTGGTTGAGGTTCTTTCGGGATTCATATAGTGGCTGTGGTTTAAACCCAAATTCGCGGAAAGAGAATGTCAGTTAAAGGATTGATTATCGGTGAAATCTATATTCCGGGATAAGTTCGGTGCTGTTGCCGAAGTCAACAGATACCCCACAGAGGACTGACTATGTAGGACTAAGCGTTGGAAATGAATTTGTGTTAAATGTATATTATATAGGATGAATGTAGTGGTATACGGATATTACAATTGTGTAGTCTGTCGGGATTATAAACTGGTGACGATCAAATGTATCCTCGGCCTTTCCTTGGAATGATTTGACATGGGGTCGAAACAGAGAACCACATAATCTGGTACTACGGGTGGACAGTTGCCCGCAGGTCTTTGTCCTGGCTGGTCAGTTGGTTGAGGTTCCTTCGGGATTCATATAGTGGCTGTGGTTTAAACCCAAATTCGCGGAAAGAGAATGTCAGTTAAAGGATTGATTATCGGTGAAATCTATATTCCGGGATAAGTTCGGTGCTGTTGCCGAAGTCAACAGATACCCCACAGAGGAGTGACTGTGGGACTAAGCGTTGGAAATGAGTTCGTGTTAAATGTATATGATACAGGATGAATGTAGTGGTATACGGATATTACAATTGTGTAGTCTGTCGGGATTATAAACTGGTGACGATCAAATGTATCCTCGGCCTTTCCTTGGAATGATTTGACATGGGGTCGAAACAGAGAACCACATAATCTGGTACTACGGGTGGACAGTTGCCCGCAGGTCTTTGTCCTGGCTGGTCAGTTGGTTGAGGTTCCTTCGGGATTCATATAGTGGCTGTGGTTTAAACCCAAATTCGCGGAAAGAGAATGTCAGTTAAAGGATTGATTATCGGTGAAATCTATATTCCGGGATAAGTTCGGTGCTGTTGCCGAAGTCAACAGATACCCCACAGAGGAGTGACTGTGGGACTAAGCGTTGGAAATGAGTTCGTGTTAAATGTATATGATACAGGATGAATGTAGTGGTATACAGATCTTACCCACCCGTATACCTAGAGTAAGTATGTCGGATGTTGTTCTCTGTAAGTGTGTCGGATGAATGAAAAGTGTGCTGGGTTGAAAGATGATGGATGAAAGGTATCTTATACAAGTGATACCATTAAATTTTCCTTCCTTATCCAGGTATGTCCCAACTGCACAGTTGTAAATGGAAGTGATGTTTTTACATCTTGGAAGTTAAGCAACAGGCATTAATGGACCAGCGTGTAAGATACACAATAGGGGCGTTGGTGAGTCGTCACAAAAGCTCACCCCGTGGTTGAAAAAGACCACCGTGACATTAGGCCAAGACGGCAGGTGTTCATGTAAAGCACTTCGACATTCATTCATACATATAGACGTACATGGCTAAATCGACTCTCGCTATCTATAAGGACTCGGAATATACATATACCTATACTTTATATTATCGGAAAATTATATTATAGAAATTACAAATGGAATGACAAACTTTATATACCCTTCCCACGTAGCTGAAGGTTATAAACAAATCAGAAAGAGAAACCAAAACTTAAAACTCAAGTAATTCATAAGTAGTGGTAGAAGTGGTAATTTTGGTACAGTGTAGTGGTTTTTTTTTCTAAGGTCCCATTAACATTTCAATATTTGCTTAAAACAAAAAACTTCATGGACATTTTTACTTGTGTTGTGTTTCAATGCAGTACAGTTCGTATCTGTATTATTATTTTGTTACACCACCACCATGGTGGTTTGGTTGCCTTTACATTGCATGTGTATAACTGCCAGCATTTTCTTTTATACTATAAATCAATCACATTGGCTTCCATGTGAAGAAAGAAAAACAGAAAAATTGTATAAAAAAGAAGAAGACACAACCAAAATTTGTGTTTGCCAAGTTTTGTGTAATCCTTAAGAAATCAATACAAGTTTATGGGGATCAAGTGAAAAGTAGTGTATGCATACATATGTAATGAAATTAAAGATGAAGGACCATTAAATGTGGATATAAAATGACAATTGTTAAAGTAAATTGAAATATGTATTGAGATAAAAATGATTAATGGAAGAAATTTTATTGTTTGGTCAATCTATTATATAAGTGAGAGGCTTAGAAGCTAGAAGCAAAGGTAATGTCAATGTAATTTTCGTGAGTAGCTGCCTTGACGGCTTAATTTCACGGTGGCTTTTGCATCCACTTTGTGGACCTTAGACAGTACACCAATTGCCCACGAGAGACTTCAATAAAGAACACTCAGGTATCAATTTCTGTACATAACTGTGCCGGTACTTGAGCTCTTGCCAAACATTTCCAATGTTTGGCAAGAGGAGACAATTGAAAACCTGTTCAATAGAGAATGATTCCTGGGCTAACAGGTATCCAAGGTTGTCATTAGCCATGCCTTAGCATCCCCTTCCTCCAATGATCCATTCAAGAACATGTTTCAACCTTTAAAAGCCCTCGCAACCACATCACAGAAGTCTGTTGATTCGAAAACAACACTTAAAGATTTGGGAGTCCGAAATACATCACCAATAAATCGGGATCCCTCTTTATGTCAAGATGGTATGACAAAGTATAGGTAAACATCAACCATAGTCGCGTTACCACAATATGATTCCTATTGATTTCGATCAGTACTAGTCTCTGGAAGAGCGGA